CAGTTGAAGAGTAACTATGATAAAAATTACAGTCATCTACAAGCTTTGCAAGTGGGAAAACCTGAAAAATCAACACAATACTTGTATCTTAACATATAAAACAATATTATTAAAAACACTCACCCTGGCAAAAAACAAACATCGTGGAGCTGTTTGGTACTGAGGTTGTGGATCCACCAGCTGAACAAAAAGTTCTAAACCTCCCTTGTTTACGTGCTTTCATCAGCTGTTCGGTGTAGTTAGCATCCAGTTAGCCCGGCAGACCGGTAACAGGACCATAGAGTCCGCTCGGTGCTCGATCTTCTTCTCTTCCCTCTTATAATTGAAATAGTGAATCACATATTTCCTCATTAAAGTCCTCACTCTGTCTCCGACTGTTTTTCCTCCATCTCTGCCTTTGAGCTCCTCTCTCAAACTGCAGCTCGGTCCGGCTCGGTCCACCTGTCCACAGCTGGACTGGAGCTCCAAGTTCATCGCCTTATTTAATTGCATCAAAGACACTAAAATAACTAAACTTCACCATAACTATGAAATATAGTTATACAAATATAATAAATGTAATAAATTTCAGATACAGTATCTCATTGCTAACTTCCGATAGCGCTGTCTCTCCATCGCAGCCGAACTTTATTCAACTTCCGCCTCTTTTTACTTTTATCCTCCTGTAGATTTTTTGCCTCTTGTCTAATATTTTCAGGCTTCAGTCAGAAAGGAGTTTGGGGGGTTTATGTTTGTTCGGCGGGGGTGGGGGTGACACCAGAGGGTGGAATGAGGTGTTTTCCCCTCATGAATCAGCCCTATTTTACATCCTCCTGCTGCAACGTGTTTCAAATATGACGAACATTAATAAAAAGAGCCATAATTTAATTTAATATATAATTTAATCAGTGTATAATTATTTATTATTAATTCAGTTAGAATGATTGGAGCACTCTTAAACTACACAAGATTTGTGCAGATCCTCCACTTTTTTCACTTCCGACCTCCATCCGAACTTGCACTGCATCGTGACGTCACATGAAACCCTCCTATTAGAGGCGGAGGCAGCCCTGGCACAAAGCCGTAGAAGTGATCTGATCAYTAACTAACAAGTTACTGGCCCTTGCGGCCCAAACATCAGACTGGCCCACTGGGAAAAGTCCAGATCCTCCCGATTCGCCGGGCCTTACATGTACTACAACAACTACAAGTAAATAAAACGAAAGGCAGCAGAAAGAAGAAAACATAGAATATCTGCCCCTTTTTTCCAAAACCTTAATTGAAACAATAATAATAATCTTCATCTTGAATTCGATTGGATAAGAGTGCTCTGGGGTTTGTTAGATTTGTTGAACGCAGCGTCTGTTTCATTGGAGAGGGTCCAGTCTCTGAGTTCTTCAGATTTATTTATAATTTTTAATYATCTGGCTCATTCTCACTCATCAACACAGACCCATGCTGGGCTTTTACTCTTTTATTTGAACCATTATTTTGAAATCTGAAAGCAGATCCAAAGAAACGTGAAGCAGAGAGAAAATCTATAATGAGATGTCCGAAACACTTTCACTTGTTTCTACTGTTGATTTAAAACGTACAAAATAAGTGTTGGATTAATGGGTAAAATTTAAGAACTTGTAAAGGTCTAAATTTTAAAAAAGCGAAATAAAAGTTTAGTCTTCAGCGTTTCACAGCTCTTCAGCTCTGTGACGTTTATTCCATCATGGCTCCGCCTCCTCCATCACTGGAAAATAAATATATCAGTTATTTAAATTATTATCATTATTAAACTGTTCATAGATGAGTTTCAAACTGAAAATTACAGGCTGACAACAAAACATGAAACATGTTTGGTTTTAGTGTTTGTTGTTGTTTTCCTCTGCTGCCAGCAGGGGGCAGTGTTGCCAGTCAGCGAGCCACAACTAAAGGACACTTTGTGTTTGCTGATGACGTCATTACCTGTCTTTATGATGATGTCATCGACCGACTCCACCAGGTGAATGGCCCCGACAGCTGAAGCTTCACCGATGGCGTTGGTGGCGTGACACTCGTATGACCCTTCTTCTTCTTGGGTCAGAGGGGAAATCTGAAAGGAAACCATACGTTCTGATTGGTCCAACAGAGAGCTGCGATGATGACATCACTTCCTGTCTGACATACGCTCACTGCTGCTGTCATACACCTGATCACACCTGAACGACACAACCTTTAGCTGCCTGCTGGTAACTCAAGCTGCCAATTTAGATCATCAGTTTGATGATGATCAATAACAGCTGATCAATAACAGCTGATCAATAACAGCTGATCAATAACAGCTGATCAATAACAGCTGATCAGGAGGAAACGGGTCACAGACCAGAACCCAGCCGGTCACTTCATGTTTCTCTGGTCCTCCTCTGGTCTGGATCGCCAGATTGTCCCGGTCTCCTGGAAGCAGCTTCGTCTTCCTGGTCCCTCCAAGAACCTGAAGACATTATGACGTCATTCATCTTCATCARATAAACACCATCATCTTCGTCATAATAACGTCATCATCTTCATCATCCAGATGCTCAGACTTTAGAAGTTCTGTCCTCTGATTGGTTGATTATTTTTTCAGAAAACGTATCCTGCCCGTCCCCTGTCAAACTCACCTTCTTCCAGGTGAGGACAGGTGTGGGCACGCCCACTGCCTCACAGCTCAGGTACACCTGGGAGCCACTGACATTAAACACCTCACCTGGAGGAGTGACGATGACAGGAGCTGCGGACAGATGACATCATCGAATCAGGACCGGACAAGTCGTTTCAGTCTCACCTGTGGACAGGTGGTCAGTCTCACCTGTAGTCAGGTGGTCAGTCTCACCTGTGGTCAGGTGGTCAGTCTCACCTGTGGTGGTCAGTCTCACCTGTGGACAGGTGGTCAGTCTCACCTGTG